CCAAAAGCCAACAACTATAATTATTGTTATTGTTATCATCTTTACTATAAAGTTTTATCATTGTCTTGGTATTGTACAAGCACAATTTGGACCCAGTTCTGAGAAAAGCAGTCTTCCTAACTCCTGTAAAGGTGCCAGCATTATTTCCTAATTTGAAACATAAATTTACAAGAGAGAGAAACAACATACCAGCCATTAGTAGGCTAGCTTTCTCTCCTCTTCCTCCCACCATTATCTTTCACTACTGTCACCACATGCAGCTGTAATCCAAGCATGTCAAACTCAAAGGCTAACACGGGCCAAATAAACAAGGTTTAAGTTTATGTGGGCCGCAAAAAATCAAAAGCTTCAATTTTCATAGAAACGTAGGTTTATTTTGATAGAGACATGCTGAATACAAAGGGCTGAAATAAATGAGTAATCGTTAACATAAAATAATAGAACATTTTAATAAAAATTAATATTTTTCTTGAATATTAACTTACCAGACACTGAATAACTGCACAGATTAATAAGCATAACACAAATAAACCTATTTTTCTTGTTCTCCAAAGTGAAATATTTCCTGTTGCACACACCAAACAAGTCAGTCCAAGACTAATGGCGTGGCAATCAGCTGCTATACTATTCGGGGATAGTATTAGAGGAAAAAAACGGTGTGCTTGCAAGTAAGGTGCCTAAGAGAAATGAATACAACAGGATTACAGTAATCAGTCATTAGCGAACGTTGTAGTTTGTTATTAATAATTATGTATAACAGGATATTGTAAAAATCAAGTTATGAAATTTTTATTAAAATGTTTCTTACATACCATTATATTGGCTGGGCCGCAAAAGTATTCGTTGTGGTTCGCATGTGGCCCATGGGCCATGAGTTTGACATGCTTGCTGTAATCGCTGTTACTGTGAGCAGATCAGACTAAACCAATCTTCCAACTATTTCTATTATTTCCAAATATTGTCAGATCTCTCCAAAGGAAGGGATTCCTTTTCACTGTATTTTTTATATCACAAAGGGTCTTTCTCTAAAGGTTTGTTTAGAGGTCCACATTGTTAAGAAGTAACCTCATGCCCTGGCCGGTGTGGCTCAGTGGATAGAGCGTCGGCCTGTGGACCGAAGGGCCCCGGGTTCGATTCCCAGTCAAGGGCACATGCCCAGGTTACAGGCTCCATCTCCAGTAGGGGGCATGCAGGAGGCAGCCGATCCATGATTCTCTCTTATCACTGATGTTTCTCTCTCTCTTCCCTCTCCCTTCCTCTCTGAAATTAATAAAAATATATTAAAAAAAGAACAAGTTTAATAACTATATATCTATATATCTACATATCTATATCTATATATCTATCTCTATTTCTATCTATATCTATACCTATCTATCTATCTATGTGCTAAAAAAAAAAAAAAAAAAAAAAGTAACCTCATATCCAGCAGAATAGGGAAGAGGCCAGGAAGTAGCCTCATATCCAGCAAATAGGAAAGGTCTGCCTTCCCCAGCTCTTCTCAGATGTCACACAAAAAGTTTAGTGCCTTTTGTCCTGGCCAGTGTGGCTCAATTGGTTGGAGTGTTGTCCAGTACACCGAAAAGGTTGCGGGTTCTATCCTCAGTCGGTGCATATATAGGAGATAGCCCATTGATGTTTCTCTCTCCTCTCCTCCTCCTCCCCTTCCTCCCTCCCTCCCTCCCTCGCTCCCTCCCTCCCTTCCTCTCTGTAAAATCAATAAAAAGCATATCCTCGGGTGAAGAAAGTAACATATATGGTTAGTGGAGAATTAAAAACTATTTTTTCAAAAAAGCTCAGTGCCTTTTCAGTCAAGATAGATAATAACTGGGAACACTTTAGCAATCTCAATCCTACCAGTTGAGAGGAGCTAGAAAATCAGCTAGAAATTTAATCTGGTTTGCACTGTACCTGATGTTTTGTAACTTTCCTCACTGTTCTGTTGGTCCAAACCATACTCATTAGCTTTTGGCTCAGTTTTTCACCAGATCTCCCATTTTCTGATGGGGCTGGAGATGTGCCCTGAACCAAAGGCCACTTAGCTAAAGTCCTAATACTCTGTCTATTTATGTCCATACTCTGGATCCTACTTCTCATGCTCCCAGTGGCTGGGGCACTGCTCTCAATGGATGATAAAGTGGATGACAGGTCTATCTTACTTTAAGACTCTTTCCCTTTCCACAACTCCTACTGTCACATCCCCCTACCACTTGGCATGTCCTCAACAACTGGCAGTATCAACTGTGAGTACCACACACTCTTTTGGAGACTTGCACACTTATCTACCAGAAGTCATACTTGGGGCACAGCCTAACCAATGGCTCACTTTCCCTGCCTGTCCCTTTCCCCCTACCCACCTGCCCACATTATGACTTACGTTGCTGAGGTCCCAGCATGCCTCATCTCAGTCTGCCTATGTTTTATCAGAAACCAGGGGCAAAGTCCTGGAGTACACAGCTTTGTATCTCCCTTTCTGAGTCCCTACTTCACTTCTTGTTGCTGTCCTCTTTGTCCAGGGTCTTTCTTTGTTCCATAATCACATACCTTCCTCTCTGGCTTCCCCCGCCCCTAACCTTACAAGTTTCATTCCCTTAGTGGGCTGATCCATACTGTCACAAAGAAAATAATCTGATTACACAAAGTCACAAGACAAAAATAACTAACACCTTAAAGTAAGGAACATTCATTTGCATTTGCATTAACTTAAAGCAGTGGTTCTTTTTAAAAAATATATTTCATTGATTTTTTACAGAAAGGAAGGGAGAGGGATAGTTAGAAACATCAATGAGAGAGAAACATAGATCAGCTGCCTTCTGCACACCCCCTACTGGGTATGTGCCCACAACCAAGGTACATGCCCTTGACCGGAATCAAACCTGGGACCCCCCCAGTCAGCAGGCCGATGCTCTATCCACTGAGCTAAACTGTCCAGGGCTTTACTCTAATTTTACAAGCACCTGTGCAGCTATTTAAAATACCTTTGCTGGGACCCTACTATCAGACCATCAGAGAATCTCTGGAGGTGGCAGTCTGGCATCAATCATTTTGAAAAGATGTCTAGGTAATTCCAGTGTGCAGCTGCAGTGAGAACCACTGACCTAAGGAAATAAATCTCTAATAGTAGGGCAATATTGTGTAAATTTGCTACTTCCCTACCTCAAAGGAGTTGTGGGTGGTGAGTACTCAGCCCTAACTTCTCTCAATCTGACAGTCCAAATTGCTTCAGGACCTAGATTTATTTAACATTTCATGGTAGAGTTCAAAATGCCATTTAGAAGAGTATACTATTTAGAATGGGTGGAATATGAAACACTCATGGAATGTAAACTTGCAAGAGACACTGGGATTCATGAAGATTTGTAACATATTATAAAGTTATGTTATTACATACGTTAGCCTGTTTCTGGCCTCACACCTCCCTGGAAACGGTTTTAGATCTTTAAAAATAATTCTGAGCTCTGCATTAAACGTATCAGCTCTATTATGAAGTAATCAGAGCCACACTGATTGCTTAACATTATAGAATCGTATAGAGTGGAGCTGAAAGCAGACTACTGTAGTTCCTGGACCTAAAAATTATTGCCCTCATCCTCCCATAATAATCATAATTAAGGTCCAATACTGGAGACACTTGAAACCTAAAATGGGATTCTGGGTATGGGCCAGGACTTAGCTGGACCATTCTCTAATAAACCCATTGTTATGTTAAGGAAATTACTGGGACTAGGACTAATCCTAGAAGTAATCAGTTTGACAAAGTAGTGTCTGAGCTATCTGTCCCAAAGTGGTGGAGTGGCTGCAATGAGGAAATGAGCAGTGCTTCTACAAATTACTGCCACTTTCTAGAAAAAAGGTAAAGTGGATATTTTAAAAATTAGAACAGAAAAAATCAAGACCAAGTGTCACGAGAGTTTGCAATAGTGTAAGTAAAAGACTTGATTTAAAAGGATCAGGAAGGACCCCCTTCCCCAAAATGTACCCAACTCGCCCTGCTAATGCTAGCTTCAGTGGGTCGATCCAAAGTGTTCACAATTTGTCCATTGCCTTTGCAAAAATTATCTTTGAACATAAAACTTCTCTAGAGGTGGGGGGAATGGGAGATGTCTGTAATAATATCAACAATAAAAATATAATTTAAAAAAACTTTTCTTGAAAGGGGCAATATTAAAATGTAGGCAGCCTTATTTTAATATGCTTTAATTTATTAGCCAGAAATGATGTTCTGTATCTGCTACTTGTGTGCTGCAGAGAAAATAGACCTGGTTTGGGGGTAGAGGACAGAAGGGGGACATGCATTTCAGAGTCCAGATAACACAGTGATATGTAATAACACAAGGGCCTTGGTCACCTATGAGGGAAAGTACCCAGAAGGGAGTGAAAGCAAAATCCCCCTTCAGTGACTAGAACAGACAAAAACGGAGCAATAAAAACACTCCTCTTTGGCTAATCTGAAACCTCTAGGGTCCTAAGGGCATAGAGGGTACATGGATATAATTGCTCTTGATCCTATTGTTCCCCACCCAGGTGCTGAAAGTAGGCATTGGCACCTAAAGGCACTTTAACTGCAGAGTTCTTTGTACCTTTTTTTCCGTTCATAAAATAGGCTCTGTTGAAGGACAGTCTCAGGGCCTGTGTGAGAGTGGAAGGAGGCAAATGCATGAAAAACTGGGGGGTAATTTGATACCCTAGGGCAGTGGTCGGCAAACCGGCTCGGGAGCCACATGGGGCTCTTTGGCCCCTTGAATGTGGCTCTTCCACAAAATACCGACTTCTGCGCAAGGGCCACGAAGTTTCAATCGCACTGTACGTGCACGCCCGCACATGGTATTTTGTGGTATTTTGTGGAAGAGCCACACTCAAGGGGCCAAAGAGCCGCATGTGGCTCGCAAGCCGCAGTTTGCTGACCACGGCCCTAGGGTGTGAAGATAGGAAATAGGTTGGAGATTGTAGCATCTTTCTCTGAGCCACATTTAAACCTCAGCCAGGAGAAAAGCACTCACTGCGAATTCTGTCTGCCAGGCAAATTTACAGAAGAGGTTCCCGAATGTCTTGTCCTGTGTTCAGGACGACCCCTACAGGGAGGCCATGGCTCTGAAGAGCATTTGCAACTTGATTGGCTGTGTGCACCCAAATGTCTTCATCTGAAGAAATTACTCCAGTCTGAGCCCACTGGAAATATTCCATGACAGTTACCATCACCAAATGGAAGAAGGGAGTGTCCGAGAAAAGGTCGGATCGTTATTTTTTAAATCTAATTCATAATTTACACAAGCCCAAAAGAAAATCCCTTTGTCCCAGCTGTTTCCTAGCAGCAGGGCTGCCTCTCAGTAGCCGGTGTTGACAGGTCCAATGAATCCTGAAGCCACCTGGTGGTGAGAAATGAAACTGGAAAGGGCCCTGGAAGTCTGGCAGCCTTCATTGAAAATCACATATTCAAAAGAATAACCCAGGTCAAATAATGGGTCTCTACTGATCCATTCAGTGACTAATTGAGCAGCAACTTCAGACAGGGCCTTTGAGAACAAATGATCACGAGACCAAGGGCCCACAACACCTATCTTGTGCCGGGGGGCGGGGGGGGTGGTGCCATTACCTGCTTAGGGAGAGATGTGAAGGCCAGGAGGCACAAACACCATAAGAACTTGTACAATGCAAGGTCATAGTGTCTCTCTGTCTTCTAGGAGCCTTAAACCAGAGCATGAGATGAGAGAAAGGCCAGGTTCCAGAAATATATCCTTCCTGTTTCCAGCAAGCTAACAAAGAGATACTGGAAACTTAGTGTGCTTTCCCGAGATGGACAGTGGTGTTTCCAAATGCCTGCCAATGAGAGGGAAAGATGTGTTACTCACATTATTCCTGAAGCTTCTGGAAATATTGGTTATGAAAAATGGCAAAGGAATAGTAGTTCCCATACTGGAAATATTTCCCTGCTCCCTCCAACCAAAACTCCTCCTTTTCTTGTTCTTCCTGTGCTCCTTATATCAGTGGATAGCACTTCCATCCACAGTTCACCCATTTGCTCCAGTCAAAAACCTGGGAGTCACCTGAGACTTTTCCTTCTTCTCTGACCCCACATTCAATTCATCACCAAGTTCTGTTGATTTAATTTTAGTAATAACTGCCCACAGTATTGTGAGTATTACATGGGTTAAGATACAGCAAGCACTTATAACAGGGTCTGGCATGCCATTAGCATTATATTAATGATATTATCATTATTATAGTTTTAAATATGTCCACATTTCTCCACCATACTGTCCTCTTGGAGAGAGACAAAAATGTAAACAGATAATGGCAATACAGGGTAAAAAGTGCTATGATTGAAATAGCCCAGACAGAGGAAGACAGAGAAGATCACCCAAACCCAGATTTCAGGGGAGGGGAGGAGGGAGAAGGGACATCTCTCTGAGTTGAGTATTGAAAGAAAAGTTAGCCTGTAGAATGGGGTTGCAAGAGGTATTGGTATTAAGAGCCTTCCAAGATGAAGGAACAGCATGTAGTAAAACACAGAATTTTAAAAAGAAAAGGATGTGTTAGATTTTTCAGAATTCCAAGTCATTTGTTCTGCTTGGGTCTATATTATCACCCAAGGTAGGGACCAGATCACCAAGAGTCATAAATACCATTCATAGGTTTTTAGATTTAATCCTGTAGACAATGGATTTAGGTAGATAAATGGTATCAGATTTTTAGTTGTAAAATATCACTCAAGTATCACTGTGGAGAATGGGTTGGAAGGGGGCAAGACTGGAGGCCGGGAGACGAGTTTGGAGGTCGTTGTAGTAATCCATATGAGAAATGATGACAAGCCAAGAGACAGGTAATGAAGATGTAGAAAAAATGAAGATGAATTTCACCAAGATAAAAAAATTTCAGAGTTCAAGATAGTAGAACCAACAACAACTTGGTCACTGACAAGATGTAGAAGGTAAGGAGTAAAAAAGAAGACTCCAAGATGATTTTGAGCTTTTCAGGCCTAGGCAACTGATTGAAAAATGATACAAGTCTCTAAGATAGATAACACTAAAAGAAGGAGTGGGAGATATAATGCATTCTATTAGACAGGTTGAACTGGTGATGCCTGTAGAATGTATAAGTGGCAATATCCAGTAGACAGTTTGATATATTGCATCTCATAATAGAAAGCTGAGATAGAGATATAAATTTGACTGTAATAAATTGGTAAAGGGTAATTGAAGCTATGGCAGTATATAAGATCAACAAAAGACAGTGTAGAGTATAGAAAGAAGCCAGAGGACAAAACTCTAGAACCTACATTTAATGGTCAGGCAGAAAGAAAAGAGGTCATAATGAAAACTTATATGAAAAGTCCAGAGAAACAGCAAAATCCAGGAGACAGTGGTATCTTACAATCCAAGGAAGATGAAAACTTTGAGGATGAAAAGTGCCTGTCACACGTTACATTCTGTTGAGAATTCAGGTAAGCTAAAGATGGAAAGGTGTCTGTCTGATAGATTTGGATTCAGAGAGTAAGGTTATAACTTGAGGGACCACAATGAGTCGAAAATGAATAAGAATAAATGAAGTGGTATCAGCAAATGCAGAGGATTCTTTCACGATGATGCAGGCTAAGTCTTTCTCCATCTGGCCCTTGCCTTTCTGTATACTTCCATGTCCCACTGTTCTCAGCTGATGCTACAGTAAAATTCTTGCAGTTCTACAGACATATATTTTATAGTCTGTCAAGCATCAGATTTGGAAAATGCCAATTCTTCTGCCTTGAATGTCCTCCTCTCCTCCCATACTCCACTTCTAGATTATCCTGATGAACTCCACCTTCAATACCCAATGGGTAGTGTTCCCTACTCTGCAGCCTTAGTTAACACCCCCAGGTTGAGTTCACTGTTTTTCCATATGTGCCTCATACTTATACCCATTAGGAAAAGTATCACTCTGACTTATACACTATCTGTATTTCTGGCATATAATGTGGCAAAGATACTGAACTGTTTGATATCTCTTTATTTACAAGACTGTATACTTTCAACCACAAGGAGTGGGCAACAATGAGGGTGCTGTCTATGCAGAACACAGCCCACTGGAATGGAAGCTTCTAGACTCGAGGTCCTCTTCATAGCCCTAATGCCTAGCCAAGTTCCCAACATAGTATAGGTACCAGATAAATGCTTGTGAAATGAATTAATAAACATTAAAGTTGATCTAAGATCAGGAATAACCACACTAGACATAGTCAAAAGAATTGCTTGGGGAAGATGTTAGTGAGGAAAATTGTACGTAGAGCTCGGGAAGTATGTCTCAGCGCTGTGGCTGATGCAAGGGTGTGAGCACACTCCACCATGACATGCTTCCTCTGCACACCAGGAAGTAGCAACGCCCGCCTGAACGAACTCCTAGAGCCATGTGCACAGTACCCCAGCCTTTCAGCCATTGGTCGCCTGTAGCAACGTGTCTCCCTCTGATTGGTCCCCTCATACTATATATACCCCTGTAGTTCCACAATAAAACGGATCTGCGTCACTGAACCTGGTCTCCGGAGCCGTGCATGCAGACGCCCTAGCGCGTTGGGGCTCCATCGTCCTCACCCCCAAGGGACCCCCTGCTTCAGAAAATCCTTACTAAAGTGTTAATTTTGACCAAAGATAAAAGTAGTGTCATGGCTCTCTTCCGGGCTGATAATCAGCACTGGTGTGTACTGGTCAAGCCCAGCCTAGTTGTTTATTGTCAGAAACAATCTGCCTGTACCAGGACTCTTAGTTATTAACTTGACTCTCACCATTAATTTTATAAAAAAGCCTGACTTCTCAAGAGACCAGTTAGGGGCACACCTGATGGATCTTTATTTTTTAAAAAAAATTTTATTGATTTCAGAGAGTAAGGGAGAGGGAGAGAGAGAGATATATAAACATCAATGATGAGAGAGAATCATTGTTCGACTGCCTCCTGCACGCCCCCCACTGGGGATAGAGCCCACAACCCGGACATGTGCCCCTGACCGGAATCAAACTTGGGACCCCTCAGTCCGCAGGCCAATGCTCTATCCACTGAGCCAAACTAGCTAGGGCAGGATCTTAAAGATCTGTCACAATAGTATGCCCCAACAGTTATAAATAAGTGAAAGCTGGTTAAAACTAGGGTGAAAAAAGAACTGAGCAGGAAACATCTCACAAAACAGTATAAGTCAGAGGCTGAGGAATGTATAGGATGGAGAGGGAAAACTTCCAACTTTGCTTGGGGTGGGGGAGGGGGGAGTGGAAAAGTGGTTCTGAATTGACTATATGTAAAAGAGCACAAATTTATTCCTAGACCTTCAAAAATAATTCAGTTCAACTTCTCTCCCCCAAAATAGATTTATTCCGTGTGCGAGGTTGAAGGCATGATGTTGAGATTCACCATGGATGATGTGTGAGTTGTGGACTCAGCCTTCAAAGAGCCCCAGTCTGGCACTACAATCTAAGCTCTAGCTGACAGCCACATGCTTATCTTCTCACCTTCCCCCAGCCCCAATCTCCCAATCTTGTTGTTGTTGTTAATCCTGACCTGAGGATATTTTTTCAATTTTTTTATTAAGTTATTACATATGTGTCCTTATTTTTCCATTGATTTTTAGAGAGAGTGGAAGGGAGGGGGGGAGACAGAGAAAAAGAAATATTGACATGAGAGAGACACATGATTGGTTGCCTCCCAAACGTGCCCTGGGGGCAGGGATTGAGCCTGGAACCTAGGTATGAGGTACGGAACCCTTCAGTCCTCCGGTCAATGCTTCATCCACTGAGCCAAACTGGCCAAGGCTGGCCTCAATCTTTTATCTGTTATGGCAAATTTGGGAGCCAAGGCACTCTAGAAACAGCCCGTTTTCTGGAATAGCATGGAAGGGGTCCCTATTTTTGGTCTGCATTATAACAAGGATATTAAACCGTGTGATATCTCCATCCTTATAGGACTTCACTCTTTCAACCATTAGGAGTAGGAAACAGTGAGTGCAATTCCATATGAAGAATAGAGCCCTATTCATAGCAACAGGGCAAGGAGGCCAACCTACTGCCTCTTTTCCCCCAAACACACCTAGTTTGAAGGGTTCTCTTCCAGAAGTGGTACATTTGAGCCAGAAATTAGCACTCAAATAACAAAAGCTATGGTAATTACTGAGTTCTTGCTATGTATCAAAGACTGGGCTAATCTCATTGCATGTATTATGTTATTTTAAAAACTTGATTTAAAAAACCTAATCACAGCCCTTTGAAGTAAGTACTATTATCACCCTCATTTACAGATGATGAAACTGAAGCTCAGACAGGGTAAGTAACTTGCCTAAGGACACACTGTGGTAGAATGGGGATTTGCAACCCAGTAGATTGAGCACTGTACTAAATGGCCTGCCAGCAGACCCTAGAGCAGTGATGGCGAACCTTTTGAGCTCGGCGTGTCAGCATTTTGAAAAACCCTAACTTAACTCTGGTGCCATGTCACATATAGAATTTTTTTGATATTTGCAACCATAGTAAAACAAAGATTTATGTTTTTGATATTTATTTTATATATTTAAATGCCATTTAACAAAGAAAAATCAACCAAAAAAATGAGTTCGCGTGTCACCTCTGACACGCGTGTCATAGGTTCACCATCACTGCCCTAAACTATGAAGTCACTGAGACCATCATTATTATACCTTTTATGCAACTCAGATTGAATTTGAATGATTCGTGTGTGTGTGTGTGTGTGTGTGTGTGTGTGTGTGTGTTAAAGTCCCTTAGTCCCTCATGAAAAAAAAAATTAGGTAATGAGTGGGACAGATGGAATAAACTTGGAGAAGCAAATAGAAATTTATTATCCATCTGGAAGGAATTTGCCACTAGTGTTCAAGACCAGCCTTGGGGCAACTCACTTACACCTTACTCAGAGTTCAATGTTGCACAACTGGTGTGTGTTGGGGGGGGGGGTGACTGCCAACTATATTATATTCTAGTCTTTGAGAATGGAAGTCTTGGGAGTACAGCCTTTGACATGTTTGCTCTGATTCTCAATTTCCTCATCCGCAAAATGGAAATAAATTTAATGTAATACCTTGATGTAAGGGATTAAATAAGATAGAATGCTGAGTATGCAGCTGTCTTTCAATAAATACTAGTTCTTCCTGCTGTTTGGAAAGAAGACTGTTGGGTATCAGAAGGTCTGGGTCCTGAATCCATTTCTGCCACTGACTCTCCATGTAACATTGAAGAATTTGTTCCCCCTCTCTAAGTCTCCCCTCCCCAGCTGAATTAGAAAATCTATAAGTCCCTTTCTTCTCTTATGTACATTTATCCTTAGATTTGTACTTCTTCCAGGCTGTGATTTTTCTAAACCTCTGAACTATTAAACTGCATTCTAAATTTATTCAACATTCTCTAGCCTTTGCCCTTCTAATTAGCTTTTTTTACTGGATTCCCCTAATGGATTTGTACTTAGTTCTATATTACAGATCCAGTTCCTGATCATTTTAAATATGGTCTAGCATCCTCTACAAAGTACCTACAATGTGAAGTACTCTCCACCCAATACTGGAGTTATGCTATACTGACAATATCGGTTCCTAAAACCATTCACTATCTTATCATCATTATTAACAAGTACATATTGAGAACATGGTTTGTACTTAGCCTGAAACTACAAAAAAAGTGGGGTAATATAGGGCCTGGCTAGGAAATCTCACCAGGTAAAGCAACTATGTATATCAGGAGGAAGAGGGCAATAATGTTCACCAACAGGGCTCATATCTAAGTTTAAATATGTAAGTTCCCTACTTGCTTTTGCTCACCATTGAATCTCCAGTGCCCAACACAATGCCTAACACATAATAGCTACTCAACAATTATTTGTTGATTAAGTAGTAAAGAAGAGACATGGAGCACAAATAAAATGTTTTATTTTACTGTTCTTAAAAAGGCTCTATTTTAGGCCTTGGTCAGAAACCATCTTTGGCAAAATTATCTAGTAGGTAAAGTGTGTCTCAAACTACTAGTCCAGCTCTCTCTGCTCTCTCTATTATTGGAGAGAAAAACAACTCTAGGGAAAAGAAAATATTTATATAATTTTCACTGCTATGTAAAAGATTAATCATATTTGACATTTTCATCTACTCTCCAACCATTGGTGTTTGTTTCTAACAGGGGATGAGAAGTTTATGCCAGAGTAATTAATCTATATTTCAATTTCAAGCATCATTTGCAAGTAGGCAAAGGAGGATGAACCACTTTTTAATTAGAAAAATTAAGAGACTTTTTGTGCTCCTCAGATAAAAGTGATCAACTGTCTATGCTAGGTATAAGGCTGGTATTCTTATAATCCAGGTTATTCCTCTTAAGCACAATGCCTACCCATACCAAGTTCAAAAAAGTTTGCTTTTCAACTGCACATTAAAAGGATCATATACCATGATGGATAGTAACTAGACTTTAGGGAGTGATCATTTATAGTGTACACAAATTTGAATGATAATGTTAAACACTTGAAATTTATATAATAAAAAAATGTTTTTAACAAAACTACTTGCAAGCTGCATTCAGTACAGGTTTTTGAAGTGAATGGAAGTAGTGCATGTAGTAGTTTTTCAAGACTTTTGATAAAGATATTTCAAATTAGCTACT